CACATTGATTTTAAGTATATAGATTATAGACAAGTTTCCACTTCCCAGTAGGAAAGACCTCTTAGAAGATCAAATTTTTTCATTGTCTTTTTGGGGGAAGCTTCCACTTTCCACTCTCCTTCTGCTTGTCGCCAGAAAAGGAGAAGCAGGAGGTACCGAGCTAAGACTAGAAGAGGGTGAAAAGAAATTGCAGGGTTAAATAAGGACAAGTTAATTTTAAACTGCATGAAGGCATTGTCGACCAACTTCTTCTTATAATTTGCACATCCTACGATTAATTGAATTTGGGGTGATCAGATGGTTCACAAAGTGAGCTCAGGTCCAAATCTCTTTGTTTTCTTTACCTGATTGTTACTGATTGAACCGTAAGCACATTGCGAAGCTCATCTTTCTGGGCTTAAAAGTTAAAACTGTTTGCCAATATGATCGTATACCATTATTGGATAGTTGATACTCTGGTATTGTTTCTTCCTTGTAAAGCCTGTCTGAATATTCTGATGCTTGCTATTGGGTAGTCTGAAGTCAGAAACTTAATGACAAACATGCTTCAATACTGATATACAAAATCTCTTGTAACTTATTTTGAAAGAAATGCTAGCATGTTGAATCTAATACAAAATATATTTGTCTGTCTTGTTATTTATGTCTTTTTGCAATTGTAAAGTCGTTATGAGGCATATTTTAGTTAGAATTTCGTTTAATAAGTTGCTTGTCCTCATTGTAGGGAAGCGGAAAGCTTGAAAAAGGCTTTTACCCCTCCACGTGAGGTGCATGTACAAGTAACACATTCCATGCCACCAGAAAAGATAGAGATATTCAAATCTCTGGAAGGTTGGGCCGAAGAGAATCTCCTGGTTCATCTGAAACCTGTTGAGAAATGTTGGCAGCCTCAAGATTATCTTCCTGATCCAGCTTCAGAAGGTTTTCATGATCAGGTCAAGGAGCTCCGAGAGAGGGCAAAGGAGATCCCAGACGATCTCTGGGTAGTTTTGGTTGGGGACATGATTACAGAAGAAGCTCTTCCAACTTACCAGACTATGCTTAATACCTTGGATGGAGTCAAGGATGAAACTGGTGCCAGTCCTACTTCATGGGCTCTCTGGACAAGAGCATGGACGGCTGAAGAAAATAGGCATGGTGATCTTCTCAACAAATACCTCTATCTTACTGGTCGAGTGGACATGAGATCAATAGAGAAAACAATCCAATATCTGATTGGGTCAGGAATGGTGAGTTAATGTTCACCTAAAACCTTTTTTTATTTCAATTTTTGCAAATTGCATTATCAAGTAGGGACTGCGTGGGGGAAGTCATTGAAGTCTTGCTACTTCTTGAAAAATACATATCTTCCAAAGGTATTCTCAATTTGCACTTCTGTAAGCGGGGTTAACCATTTGTAAGATAAGTGAAAGACTTTGTGGCAGTTTAGAGAAGTCATCAAATGTTATTATTTTTTAGGTAAAAGCATATTCTTTTCTGGTACTTCATCCCAGAATAACTTCCTATTAACCATAAAAGAGTCCGTACTAGATCTCCTCATACTTGGTGGATAAAAACTCCCATAGTTACATATGCACCCCCCCCCCCCCCCCAACATCTTTTTATCCCATCAATCTTGTTTTCCTCACAATTTCTGCTATCCTTCTACAATTCGTTTTCTTTTAATGTTTTTTGGGCTTTTTTCTTATGACTTATGCGTTAGGGATCTTTTCTCCCTCTCTCTCTTTGGAGGAAGGGGTGGATATGAATACAGACCCTCATCTTTGGAAAAGGGATGATTTCTTAAATGATTATACCACAATCTATATATAGTGAGCTATATATTCTTAAGTGAAACCCAATTGCTGTTAGCTTTACATTTCTGCTGGGGTTATAGAAATTGATTACACACTAGCCTGTCCATGCCGTTTGATACACGAAGACATTGTTTCTCGTTGTTACTTGTTGTTAGTTTATTTGGAGATATTTCATTCTTCTTTGTCACCTTCTATAATCATAATATTGTCTGCAGGATCCTAGGACTGAAAACAATCCTTATCTTGGTTTTGTGTACACATCATTTCAAGAAAGGGCGACCTTTGTATCCCATGGAAACAGTGCAAGGCTTGCCAAAGAGCACGGGGATCTCAAGATGGCACAGATATGTGGCATAATTGCTTCAGATGAGAAACGGCATGAAACCGCTTACACCAAGATAGTGGAGAAACTCTTTGAAATTGATCCTAATGATACAGTTCTTGCCTTTGCTGACATGATGAAGAAGAAGATCTCTATGCCGGCCCACCTCATGTATGATGGTCGTGATGACAATCTATTTGACCATTTTTCTGCTGTTGCTCAGCGGCTTGGAGTCTACACTGCGAGGGACTATGCTGACATATTGGAATTTTTGGTCGGCCGTTGGGAGGTTGAGAAGCTTACTGGCCTCTCATCAGAGGGACAAAAGGCTCAGGACTATGTATGCAATTTACCCCCAAGAATCAGAAAGCTGGAAGAGAGGGCTCGGGGGAGAGCTAAGCAAGCACCTACTATGCCCTTCAGTTGGATCTGTGATAGACAGGTCAAGCTTTGAGCTCCTGATGTCTGAACTCTTATTGATTGAAGATTAGCACTCTCCTAGTGGCAGGTCCTTGTCAACTGAGGCGTGTTTGTTAGAGGTACAATTGTTTTCATGCTGATCTGGTAGATGTACTCATGTGCCCCAAAGTGATTTTGTTTAGAGGGAGTCTGGCTGCGTGTAGATACGTTTATTTCTTTCTTTACCTCAAATCTTTCGTATGATTGGGGGGTTATATTGAACTTAAAATGGATTCATAGGTCGTATTGTATTCGTTTTCTAGTCTTTTGTTACTGAATAATCCTGATATAGCAATTTTGAATGTGATGGATTTAGGGTATGACATGTGCTGCATTTCAGATGCTGTTAACTTGAAACTTTTTCGTAAACTTACTCTAGTCCCTAAACCATTGTGATTATCGGCTCGTGATTCAATTATCAAGTGTATTTTGGAAAGCTATAAGATGCATTTGTTGTGAATGTTAGCCTTGCAATATGCGATGGAATGAGAGTTAATGTGTATAGGCATGTCAAGTTGTCAACTTTCAATGCCTCCCAATTTCTGCACTGTGGAGGCCCCAATCAAGCAGAGGTCCCACACTGTTGGGGCATTTACTGTCTGACATGAAAGTGAGCTGGATTCTGCACAATTTGAGAATCTAGATGCACTAGAACCTCTTTGGCTCTTTATTTTAATGACTAGCAGCTGCGAAACGGGTCATCGGATCAAGTTTGGTTTGGGTTTATTCGGGTGAGTAATTTGGATTGATTTCGAGGTTGGTTCAAATTTTATCAGGATGGTCATATTTAGGTTCATTTTCAGTGAACATAGTGTGATAAATTAATCATATTTAGTCACAGTTGTTTTCTTTTTGGGTTGAATGGTTGATTTGATTTCAGTCAGGTTTGGGTCAGATAATCAAATACAGAGTATAAAGTATATTTTTTTTTTTGGCTGGTTTATGAGATCAATAGTGCAATTGGGTTTCGTTTAAATTATCGGATACGAGTACCAGTTTGTATTAGCTGAGGCATACGAGTACCAGATCACCGCCACCAGTCCATCACTGATCACCATAACCGACAACTATAACCTAACCACCACGACTCAATTTTTAATTATAAACCAGCCAAAGATGGTGTTGATGCGAAATTTGCTACTGCCTTTGTGAAAATAAATCAAGAAACAAATTCTAATGATGAAATACTACCTCCGTTCCAAATTGTTTGCAACGATTAGACATTTTTCCTCTCTATTTTATGTCAAAATCGTCGCAAATATATGAAATGGAGGTAGTATTAAAATTAATTCCATATGTTTTTTTTTTTGTAGAAATTGTTATTGATTTTTAAATTTTAATTCATAATCAGTTGCATGTTAAGTTTATCACCCCTTGATATGCGTGTTAAGTTTATCAAATTGATGAACTTGTATTTTCTGCAGTTGCATGTACTTCATTTTTTTTAATGTCCTTGTCTGTTAGTTAGTTCCTTGTTAACTTGATGTTCCTTTTTTCATGCAACTTTGAGCGTAAATGCAGCAGAATTTACGTAACTTTTTAAGTTTGAATTGTCATTTTGATCAACTGCTACGTCTCTGCAATCACATGCATGTCCTCTTCCACAATTACTCCATTTAATCCTTTATAGCAGCATCTTTTTGCATTAAAAAAAAGTTTCTAATGACTTTCAATAAAGAATATTTTAAGTGTACAAACAGATCAATTGAACAACCAGAGTATCAAGTAATACTTCCTAATGACTTTAAATTCATAGATTAGATTCCTACTAGTTGTGTTTCTCAAGGTCATGAATATGGTACCAGGGCAATACTGTAATTTGATAAAGGAGATGTTTGGCAATTGACTTTTTGCCTAGCTTTTGGCTTTTTAATTTGATAGTTGGCTTTTAAATCGGCTTTTTTCACCAAAAGCTACTAGGAGTAGTTTTTCCTTTGAGTTTTAGCTTGTTAGCCCACTTTATCACTAATAAACACTTAGGGTCTGTTCTCATTGACTGAACTCAGCTGAATTGAACTGAACTGAGCTGAACTGAACTGAACTGAGTTAAACTGAACTGAACTGAATTTCAACGTAAGAGAACAGACCCTTAATGACCTTAAACAATTTTACCAATCACTTTTCTAAACAGCCGATTTAAACAACTAACTTAAAAAGTCAATCCTTACGGCTATTACTTTCACCTAATCAAACAAGCCAACAATCAACTGCCGATTGCCAAACAATTCCAAAATAAAGCATCTCCGAGTCAATGTGACACTTGTAACACGGTATACGAAGACAAGTTTTTATTGTCGTTTGCACCCTTGATTTATCTTATTCTAATAAGTACGGAACTGCGTATGTTGTTTTCATCTGCGACAGCTTGAAACAGTAGCATATGTATGATATCATACACTGTAACAGAGTAGTGAGAGTACTTCGGACCTTCAGTTTAAATCAATATCAATATCAATATGTGTTCATTTGTTCAGTTACACACTAATGTTCTATCATCACTACTTCTCTTCTAAACTTTCAGCAAAAAAAGCAAAACTAAGGTGAAGTTCATATGAATGCCTTTTTTCTTCTTTTAATTTTATATTACATGGTCTTGGGATGATTTAATTTACTTCTTTTTCTAGTTGATGTGAGCCTATATGTTACCTAAGAGAGTTAAAGGTCAATTTTTTCTCTATGAAGCAACCTGTCCATTTTTATTTTTGTAACTGCAATAAGTATATCACATGTTTGGTAAAAGTAATTGTTGTGAAATTTTATAAGATGTTTTGTGAATTTCACTTGTTAGATGTTCATTACTGTGGAAAAAAAAGGCCAGAGAAATAGGGCTCAATAAAACTAATTACATCATAAGTTATTTTTTTTAATGTTAGTTTCATCAATTTCTTGAATTTTCTCTTTGTTTACCTTATAATTTCCTGAACTGTGAACAGAACTACAGAGTAACAAGGCAAAGCAAACAACTGTGGCTCTAAGTTTGTACGCTCTCCCACAAGTGAGCACTCTAAAGGCTAAAGCTCCAAAGTTTTGCATGACCTCTACTCTTAACCACTCCTCACATAAGTAAGTTAACTACTTGCTCTCTTTACAACAATTTTTTTTATTTTTATTTTTGCTAACAAATTTTTAAGCATATTAGCATTATTAATATTAATTGATTCAAAGAATGTGATTTATATTGACGTGTCATTTCTGGTGTCTGTTTTGTACGAGTATGAAGTAAATAGATACAACAAAACAAAGTGTCAATTATCTATCATTTTTAATTTAATTAGAAAAGTGGCACGTGTTATTTGAGATGTTGAAGTGTCAAGGGTCGGACATAAATATTTTCCTCTTTGTAGGGGAGTCGAAAGTACGAAAAACCCTCACAACCGTGCTAGCGGAACACTTATAAATCAAGTAACATATTCAATGCCACTAGAAAAGATTGAGATCTTCAACTCCTTAGAAAATTGGGCATCAGACAACATCTTGGTGCACCTAAAGCCTATTGAAAAATGCTGGCAACCACAAGATTTTCTTCCTGAACCGAATTCAGACGCCTTTTACGAACAAATCAAAGAGATGCAAGAGAGAGCAAAGGAGGTTCCAGATGATTATTTTGTTGTTTTGGTTGGACATATGGTTACTGAAGAAGCTCTTCCTACTTACCAAACTATGCTTAATACTATGGATGGAGTGCGAGACGAAACCGGGGCTAGTCCGACTTCATGGGCAACTTGGACTAGAGCTTGGACTGCTGAAGAAAATAGACATGGTGATCTTCTTAACAAGTATCTGTATCTCTCTGGTCGTGTTGACATGAGAGCCGTCGAAAAGACGATTCAGTATTTGATTGGCTCAGGAATGGTATGAGAGATTTGAATTCTTAATCCCTACATACTTGCACAACTAATTATGAAAACTAGTCATCTCGACTATTGCACGAGTTGTTTATAGGCATACAATATAAATTTTTAGTTTATAATATGTTTTATTAGAAAATGAATGGTTTATAAAAGGAGAAAAATATATTAAAATTAAATGTAATTGTAGAAGATATTAATTTGGAGGAAAGTGAACCAAATAACTATTCATTTAGGTATTGAATTAAAGCTAGTTTTTTTTTTTTTTTTTTTTTTTTTTTTTTTTTTTTTTTTATTTTTTACATATATGAGAAAGGGGATTAAAAGAAAAAGAAAGGTTAAATGACTGACATGTAGCATTGATGAAAAATCAAGTTTACATGTGACATGATGGTTTGTGTTTTTAAATACTAAGTATAGATATAGATATAGATATAAATTTAGATTTACTAACACAACAATATTGTAATAATGTTACGTGAATCAAAATTTTATCTCCTATATAAATTACACGTTATTCCTTCTGTTTTACTAATAATTTTTTTTTGACAGAATGTTTTACTAATAAATTAGAAACATATGTTGCCATGTAAAATATTTTTAGATTAGTTTTAAGTATATTTTCATATTATTAACTTTTTATATTTCTTATTAATATACATAAATACAATTATTATTGGTCAAAATTGTGCATTGAAAACATGTGTGCTGGTCAAAATGTTGGGATTATTATGAAATGAAGGAGTATATAAAAAGTACAATATGTGTTATTACATGTATTGAAAAAATTACTAAATTCATGTAATAACATATACTTTGCATTAGTCATTACATGTAATTAAATTAAATATTTGTGCTTTGTATTAATATTGCAGGACCCAAAAGCTGAAAACAATCCATATTTAGGTTACATATACACATCATTTCAAGAAAGGGCAACATTCATATCTCATGGAAATGCAGCAAGGCTAGCCAAACAACATGGTGATCTGAAGCTAGCACAAATCTGTGGCCTTATTGCTGCAGACGAAAAACGACACGAAACAGCTTACAGCAAAATAGTGCAGAAACTGTTTGAAATAGACCCTGATACAACCATCCTCGCTTTTGCTGATATGATGAGGAAGAAGATCTCTATGCCGGCCCATCTCATGTATGATGACCGCGATTACAACTTGTTTGATCATTTTGCTGCTATTGCTGCTCGGCTTGGAGTTTACTCTGCCAGGGATTATGCTGATGTTATGGAGCATTTGGTGGGTTATTGGCAGGTTGAGAAGCTCACCGGGCTTTCGTCCGAAGGGCGAAAAGCTCAGGAGTATGTATGTGGATTGCCCCAAAGGATTAGGATTATAGATGAGAGGGCTCGAGAGAAGGCAAAACAAGCACCTTCTGTTTCATTTAGTTGGGTCTATGATAGAGAAGTCAATCTTTGAGTTTTAGAAGCTATATTATGGTCCTTTTTTAAAAAAAAATGTGGTGTGATCTAGTTGATTTGCTCATTTTGTGCAAATGAGCAAATTTGTTAATAACTTAGCTTGTACATTGGAATATTTTAAGTTGTAATAATAAGTTTTTAAATTTCTTCAAATAATGTCAAAATTTTGTTCCTCAAACTTATGGAATTTAAATGCATAGTCAATTAGTATCTACAAGTATATGTTATTTTACATGTTGGTCAAATGTAACTGTACAAATTTCTTGCCAAGTGTTTGATTAAATGCACCATGCATTGCTGCATTTAAATCAAAAAACATATAAAATTGATTTATGGGTTTTTGATATAAGGGATTCTTATGCATGTTTTTGAAGTCCAATTTTGAGTTTGGTGTTATTTTAATGCAGGTGTACATGTTAGTCTTCATACAATAATGCTAAAGAAGATTGGTTTTGCGGTTTTGCCACCACACTCATGTCATGGCGTTGTTGTGTCTACTTTGTCAATCGTCTAAGGTAAACTTAGCGGTGCCCGGTTAATATGGCATATTAACATTACAATGTTAATATGTTGGCATTTTTGTAAATATGAGAGTTTTTTTTTTTTTTTTTTTTTTTTTTTTTTTTTTTTTTTTTTAAGTTTTTTTTTTTTTGCATGTGATGTGTCACAAACCCTGAGAATAAAGAGTGAAACAAAGGGTTCGGTTAAACCTAAAGGGTAGGGATTTGTCCTCATCTTAAATATCTCCATTGTAACTGACCATTGAAGGTTTCAATTTTAAAAGTGATGAAGGAGTGATAAACTGATATGGGGATGTTTGATTGTTTGCGAATGGATCGAAGGATGAGGGAAGTTGAAGTTGAGGAGATGAAGTTGGAAGGGGAAATTGATATCTGCCAAACTTTTTGTTGACATCCATACCCTTACTCAAGCATACGAATTGACAATTCTGCCCCCATATAAACATTCCATGTTAATATGACATATTAACAAGGATTTTCTCATTATTATTACTATTAGGTCGGATTTAATCAATTTGTATTAACATTTCTAGTGATATACTATCACTTTTACACATATTACGTGCGCGAGATCATTTTTGACCATTAATATTTATAGTGTTGCAAAATTAGTATAGTCTATACTCTATAGATTATAGAGGACTCACTTAATCCCATGGGCGGACCTATAAAGTCCAGGTGGGGAGCAGCTGCATCTCATTTTGTAAATCAGGCCCATATAGATTAAAAGAAGAAAACCCCATAAATTTGGACCCCCATTCTAATGGGGGGTGTTAAATACCGCCGACAAATTTTATCAAAATCGCCGACATTTAAGGTGAATGGACACTAATACCTTTACTATACCCCCACACATCTTCCTCTTATTCTTTTATTTTTTTTTCTCTCTCATCACCCGTAACCACCATAACCACCACTCCCCAACCACCATCAACCGCAACAATAGCAGATGAAGGGAAGCAGTGGTCCGACGGAAGTACATTGGAGGTGGAGCTAGCGCAGGGGCAGCTATCGGAGGTGATAGGGCAGTACCTCTGATTTTTTTTTAATCTTTATGCGCTCGCAATCGGCAAGCAAAACCGATTAAACACCACGGTAATTGGTTTTGGATGCCGGTCAACCTGGTCAATCGACATGAAAAACCGGTTACCCGGTACGGTAATCGGTTGTGGATGCCGATTACCGTGGTCAATCGACACTTGAAACCGATTGCAGTAGTGATTTGCCGGTTGTGCTGGTCGCCAGGGTTAAATGGTTGCCGGAAATATAAGTTGTAACTTAAAAAAAATTTGGTACCTTTAGTCCTTTTGGTTGTTATGGGCTGTGATGCTGCAGTGGGTGGTGGTGGTTATGGGCGGTGATGGTGCAGAGGGTGGTGGTGGTTGTGGTGGTGTCTGTGGTGGTTGACGATTGAGGTTGAGACTTAATGGACTTCGGAGAGAGAAAGCAAAGTGGGGATGAGTAAGGGTAGTTTTGTCTCTTCATCACTTTTGTCGGCGGTTTGATAAAAAACGTGGGCGGTATTTAGCAATCCAGGCCACTTTCTAATGTCATCACTTAAAGACCGACTAACCAAGAGTCCAAGACAACTAGATATAATGTTTTCTTTTATTTTTTTTTTAAAATTGTTGGCCATCTAATCACCTTTCACGAGAGGTTAGAGCCCATATTCTAATTTTGTCTCTCCAACTCCAGGAACCCACAAATAGAAACAGACACCTATATTTGCTACTCTCACATCTGATCCGCCGCTGCCAACCCGACTTTGCCACCGTGGCACCGTCCACCAGACACCATTAGTGCCCCTTTATAAATTTATTTTGGACCCTCATTTATTATTTTTTGGATCCGTCACTACCTAATCCCTCTATTCCTTTTATTTACTCCATGTAATTTGTTGTTTTGAAGATTTTAATTGGGACAAGGTAAAAGGAATTGAAAGAGTATTAGGTGCATTTGTTCTCTTTTGTTCACTTTGGATTTTTTTTTCCTTTTGATTATCCATATGACTATACGGCTATACCTCTATTTTAACTAGTTTTGACTTTTATTTTAACTAGTTTTGCCTCTTGTTTTTCTAATCAAGATGATAAACATGTACTTCGCATTATAAGTTGTTGCTTGTCCAATATTCTCTTATACTTCATCTTAAATTTGGGAATTGTTCAAATTAATTCAACTTTTCTAAATTAAGAAATTGATTAACTTTATATTGAACTAATATACATGCTCAATTTATGATTTCACCTTTTAATTTAGAATCAAAATTTGAATTTAAGAAAGCAGCCAAATAAATTACATTGGACCCTAATTCTTTATAACAATGATATAATAATTTCAGTAATAATTGATGGCATCATAGCCAATGGTGCACCAAAGTATGGCACATCGAACATGATTTAATTTTTCAAAATATGTAACGTTTCCTCTATACAGGCCACAGGGGAGTAGAAAGTCTGAAGAAGCTAGCCTTACAGCCATAGACGCGAGAAGGTTATTAATCAAGTAGCACATTCTATGGCACCCGAAAACATAGATTGAGATCTTCAATTCATTGGACAATTAGGCTCTTTTGATGTACTTTAAAGTAAACCTATTGAAAAATGTTGGCAACCTCAAGATTTTCTTCTTCCAGATGCAACTTCACAGGGTTTTTACAGTCAAACCAAGACGATTAATTTGTTGTTTTCATAGGACATATATTTGGGTTTCATATACACGTCATTTCAAGAAAGGGCAACATTCATTTCCGTTGAAGAATAACCTCTCAAGTATCACCACATGTAAGTGTCCCACATTGGTGAAGAAGAGAGAGTTAAACACTTTATAAGGCTAAGGGGCTACTCCTCCTATTGCCATATGGTTTTGGTTTGGAACCTCCTTTAATCTTGTGAAGTGAATTCTCTCTTAGTGGTAAAAGAATCCCTTTACACTCAAGCAAATTTAGTTGATGGACTCGAACTTGTGGCCTAGTATCAAAGTCAAAAGATGAGTTCCTAATCCCACTAACTCCCAAGCAAACGTTTGATGCAACAAACTGTGTATCGTGTATGACTAGACTTTACTAGAAGCTTTTCTACTTAACTACTTGAATCGCCAGTCATTCATGATTCATGACAATCATGAGGCATAGATATGTAGTTCTTATCACATCAAATTCTCATTAATCACATCAAATTCTCATTAATCATACCACTAAGGCATTGCTAATTAGCGACGGCATTTTAATTAATCCAGCTCGACCACATTCATTTTCATTTTAATTAATCTGAATACTTTTATTAATTTTTTAAATATTTTTTTATTATTTTTATTTTTATAATGTTTATAGTCTCAAATTCTTAACCGTCATGTTCACCTTATCTCACTTATATTTATATTTTTGTGAATAAACAAATCTAATTAGTGTAACTAAAGTAAATTTCTTTACACAAGTTTAGATAAGTTCAGATAAGCTGTAACTATTTAAATTTATATAGTTAAGAATCAGAAGAATATAATACATTATTCTTAAGAGTATATACTCCTATAATTTCTTACGGAGTACATTCTTAGAGCCACAAAATCATATCAGGATTAAATTTTCATGAAAACATAAGCATACAAGAACACCTACTATATTCTATTATAAAAACAGTTGATAATAACCAACTCACAGCTTATACCAAAAGTTCGTATATATAATGAAAAGTGTTACTAATAGATTAGGCAATAAGAATTCAAACTAAAAATCAATCAAGCTAAGTCTAAAAATATTTGTTGGACTTAATGATTTTGATGATGACACGACCTAAGTTATTTACAAACTAATAAGAGCTTAATTGTTTGAGTGTGTGATCAGTAGCAATGACTAAGGAGAATTGAGTGTCTTGCGAAGATTCCATGAGGAACAAGATAGCCAGGAACAAAGCAATCCAAAAAGATAGAAGAGTTCCCTCACAGGAACTAGTGCTTCAGAAATGAAGACTTGAGAAGAGAAGTTTCCCTTCATGGAACTGAAGCTTCAGAGTAGAAGCTTCATCAGAGAAGAGAAGTTCCTTCCAAGAAACAAAAGCCTCGAAGTAGAAGCTTCACCATAGAAACATGAAGACTAATAAATTTTTATATCTCAGAATTTATGTAAGTATAAGGATAATGTTACATTCGAAATAGCTGTGTGGAATTGGTCTTAATAAGATTAAATTGTGCATGCCTAGTTTTAGGAAAACAGTTGAGTTTAAAGTTTTATCTTTTTATAAAAGGGATTTTATTTTATTTATTTTCGAAAATCAGTTAAACAAATAAATTCTGGTTTTTAGTTTTCCAAAACTTGCGGCCTACTCCTCATGATCTTTTCCATATCATGGTCTTGCACATTAAGGAGTTCATGTCCTTAATTTTAGGACATGTTAGTGGGTTGGAGAAGTGGCATATCATGGACAAGCTACACAAAAAAGTTTTTCCTAAACGAATTTTGGTCTATAAATAGTCATATGATTTCAATTGGAATTGAAAAACTTACCCTTGCTCAAATAGATTTCAATCTTTGCTCAAAATCGAGGCAAGAGTCCAATTCTACACTAGTAAAATAGAGTGTTCTAATGTCCTTATACTAGATCGAGTTTATTCTTTTGAGTTGTATTTTGGGGAATTGGGAAGTTTG